CACTCTTTACCCTTTGCGTCACAGTAATAAAGAAACAACTACTTTACAAGTAATAGTTATTCATTTTACGTGCATTATATATATATATACTTGTATTTTGTTCCTCTTTTTTTCTTTTGCACCGCCTGCTTGCGGTGCAAAAGAAAAGAAAAAAAAAAGGAACCGCGGCGACGAAACAAATAGAAGCCATCTGCAGAAATAGAATGAGCCGGGTAGAGGACGTGGTTCCGATACAATAAAGAGGGCAAATGGTGCACAACGCATGTTCCTGGGGAGTGCGAGAGAAGATGCGAGGGGCGGGTCCTACCGGCGGATCCACGCTCGTGCCCCGGCCCGCCACTCTCCCTCACTCTCACTCTCCCGAGCCGGGAATTCTCTCCTGCCCCCATTGCTCCTATAAAAATGCTTTTTCTTCTCTTCCTTTTTTTTCTTTTTCTCTTCTCCCTTCTTGTCCTTCCCGCCTCTTTCTTCCTCACCCCCCCCTTTTTTTTTGCCCTCCGTTTTGGTTTGCCGCGCTAGCCGGGATGCGGGGTCGTCGACGACCCCGCGAATGACTCGTCGCTCATCGTATTCGCGCTGCTGCTGTCGTCGACCATCGCTAACGATGCCCCGGCTCCGTCCGCCAAGAAGCGCAGCCGCATCTGCTGTTCGCAGTTCCAGAGCATTGAGCGCGCCTCGTCCGACTGCCGAATGTAGCGCAGCACGCACCGCACCGCGAGGTGCTCCAGGATGTTTTCGTTGGGTATCCCAAAGGCGGTGACGAGGCGGCGAAAGATGTTGTTGCGCTCAGGTGCGGCGAGAGGCTTCAGCAGCAGCTTAAACGCGGAATAAAAGTAGAAGACGACTGTGCGGACCGAGTTGTAGTTAAAGTCCAAAATCACAGACTGCTGCTCAAACACGGCGCGAAGGTGGGCGTCAACAAAGGTGGGAATCGTTGGGCGCCGCAGTGCCTCCGTGACAATGTCGCCCTCGTGCGGATCCTCAAGGTGGTACCCGTCGCTGCAGGAGAGACTACTGCCTAGAGAGTTTTTATCCTCTGGCCGGAACCTCCTGGCGCCCCAGGAGGCAACGTTGCTGCGCGTTATGGGGCCGTGCCCGTCGCCTTTTCGCATTATCCGCCCCTGTTGCTCCTCCTCCGCCGCAGCTGCGTGCACTCGCGCGTGGCCCTCCTCCGCCGGAGCCCGGGACAACTCAAACCGCAAGGGTAAACTTAGTGGGGTTGCGACCTCCTCAGCACCCGCTGCATCGCCGAGGCAAATACCATCGGTTGGAACCAATTCAACGAGTGTCGTAAACCCGTGGCACTGGCTGGAGCGTTTGTTGTGTCCGCGCTTTGCCTCCGTGGCGCCTCGCTCGGAGGGAGCACCGCCGCAGGCAGGGACGGCGTTGCCGCCCCGCACCCCGCGCGCTTCAGGGACCTCCCTGCTGAAGTGCGTGGGAGAGGCGTTGGACGCCGCCGCCCCCCGCACCTCGTGAGCGCCGGCGGGGCAGACGCTGCTGCTGGCGAACGCCTCCCTGCCAAGCGACAGCGGGTTGCCGTCCGAGCTCAACTCGGTGGTGTTGGAGCGGCGGGGCCGATTGGGGCCGCGCCGTCGCCTGGCGCACCTGGACGCCTCCGCGAGTCGCTTGCTCTGCGGGTTGGTGATGGTAAAGAGGTCCTGCCGCTCCTCCACCCCGCGCAGGAAGACACTCGCAAGCGGGGAGACGCTGACGCCCTCCATCTGCGCCGCCGCCTCCCGCGCGGCACGGCTGATGGAAACCTTGTTTGGCGCTGCAAACACCCACATCCGACCGCAGTAGACCACGTCCGGCCCCTCGTAACGAACAGTGTCGCTGCCGCTCTGCGCCCGCACCGTGGCGTCCGTGCACCAGTGCACCGCGCAGGCGAGGGAGAGACCTCCATCCTCGCCCAACAGTTCCCGAAGCGGCTCATCAATCGGTTGGGACTGCAACTCCTCAATAAGGGAGAAGCACATCCGCACGGCGGCGCCTATCGAGCGTGCCGCCACGGTGGTACTGTACGGGTGTAACTGCATTGCCTCGTAGACGTTATAGCGAATAATGTGTCGCTTCTGCAGCACGGCCAATCGCTCAGAAACCCCCACCATACGATCGGGCGCCAACTCCCACAACTGCTCCGCATTACAGAGTCCAATAATGGCCAATGCGAAAGGAGCCGCCTTGGGAGCATGGGCAACCCCGTCATATTCTTTCAGACAAATTAACACGACGCAGGCACCGACCATAAATACGAGGATAGAAAGAAACACGGCGATTACAACAATGAGGGCAACAGCCGTCTTTGTGGGGTTGGCGTCCGGGTGAATTCCACGCAAGCAGACATAGAAGGGACGCTCTTTATCCCACAGTGGCCTACTTGTTCCGGTTGCAATAAAGTTATGCAACTCCGCCTCTGTGAGGTTTTTCGCCTCGTAATAGCGGATGGGGATGATGCGGTTCGAGTCTTCAACGAGGTAGATGAGGTATCCCATTTTTTTTGCCGCCAACTCCCTTTCATGTATGTTTTGATCCATCACGGCGTCCAGGTTCAGCACGGCGATGGAGAAGCCCCAGAAATTCTTTCGCGACTCCTCCGCAACGGTTGTGGCGTTGTAGATGGGGTCACGCACAACCACCTGCCAGGTCACATTAAGACACGAAATGGCGCGGTGCAGTGGACCCAAAATGGCAGTCCGCGCAGTGTCCACCGTCTGGATGGGCGTGGGCGAGCCCATGCTGTCGTCGTTCAGAAAGTCCCTCAGCCGGAGGGAGTCGATGTCCGGGAAGAGGTGCAGCGCCACCCCCCCTGGCGCGAGGGCCTGCAACGCCAGGTGCCGCGAGGAGTTCAGGTAGGAGGCCGCCAAGTGGAAGCCCGCGAATGACTGGTTCTTGATGCGTTCCTCCACCGAGGCGTTAAACGGCGGCAGGACTTTCATGGAGCCCATGACGAGTCCCTTGTGCGCGTCGCCCGTGGAAAGGGCGTCCCCCAGGGACCTACTAAACAATAAGACCCACTGATCCGCCTCATACGACTCCGCCCGCCAGCGTGCGTTCCGCATGCGCTGGTGCCTGGCCTGATACAGTGCGATGGGGACGGAGATGAGAACAGTGAGCAGCACCGCGCAAAATATTCCCAATCCAATGAGGCAATAGATGCGCTTCTCCCGCGGCATCAATTTATTTTCCTCCATTGCGCCACCTCGGTCAAGCAACAAGGACTACAATAAAGAAAGAAAAAAAAAACGCCAGTGCCTCGCTCTCGCTCCCACGGGTTGGTTAACGTTTGCTGGTGGTGGAGGGGGGGCAGCCGTACCGGGGAGGGTGGTGCACCGCCCTTCCCCACCGCGCAGCCACGCAAAAGCTGAGCGAGAGAGTGAGAGTGAGAGAGAGTGGGGCAATGGGGAGAGGGGGCGCCCGCGGGGTCGCAGGTCGAATTGGAAGGCCAACACCGCCAGGTAGGGACCCAACGGAATGTGCGGAAAGGCAAAGTGAGCAAGACAGAAAAAAGAGGGGATGAGGGGTGGGGGAGCCTGACACACCTGCGAGACACTCCTGCCGCTAAACAAAGTCTTCAAACCGCAAACGCTAAAGAGGAGAGAAAGAGACAAGGGAAAGAAAAGTAACAATATATGCGATGAATCATTGGAAACGCCCTCAATACGCGTGCATGCATATACGAATATAGACATATATGTCTAGGGAAGTAGCAGAGATGCGTACGCGTAGCTCCACGCACGCACAGACTCATATATTCGCACACGGGCGTATTATATATATATATATATTTACACCTGAGGCCAATGACAGCCCGCAGAGTAAGCAACACTCATCCACAGCAGCTGCAACAACAACAAGACAAAGGAGGAAACAAAAAGGGCGTGTGCGACGGAGGCCAGTAGTATGAAGGAAGAGAGGCGTCAGTGATGCATGACGCACTCTTCAGAGTTTTCTCATTTTGTTTTTTTTAAAAAATATTTAATGCTGCAGTTACGGTTTCCATCTACCACTCGCCTATTTGCGTCCATGGCCTACGTGCAACTCCCTCTGCTCCGTTCCCTCGTTCCTTCATCGCCACCGCCGCCGCCGCCTCGCCCCAGCCGCAGCCGCCGCTTGTCACAACGTGCAGGCATGCACGCACGCTCACAAACAGACACGTCTCCCCCCTCCCCCACTCACCACCACCATCACACCCTCTTCCTCAGTTTTACCAATTAACAACAAACAAACGACAAAAATTTCCCTTCCTTGTTCTCTCGCCCCTTCCTGCTGCCACAGTGGGAGCTGTCCTGGCGTCTCTCTTGCTTTCTTTAACGTTTCCCCCACCCACCCCCTCCCCCATTTCCATCATTCCTTTTAGCATCAATCGCCCCTCTTTGCCCTCCTTCCACACACGCACTTCAGCAGCCGGTCCCCGCACTCCCCACCCACTACAAAAATAAATATATATCTCGTTTTCTCTCTACCACGCTACTTGCCTCTCTCGGTGGGCGGTGCAATGTGGCTGTCGTGGTACCGCAGCAGTTTCTCGGCAATCTCGCGTTGGATGTGTCGCTCGACGAGTTCGTCGTCGGAGGGCCGTTCTTTATTTGCCCTGCGGTCCGCTGCGACCCGCCGCGGCGCGCTGCGGTGGAGGTCAAAGAACGGCATCTCCAGCAGCTCCGCCGCCGTCGGTCGCTTGCGCGGGTCGAGCTGGAAGATGGCCGTCAGCACGTCGACGCACTCCTTCGAGGGGAGCAGATGCGAGGGGTCGCGGCGGCGGTGCTCCGCCGTGGCCAGGAACCACGCCGCAAACCCGTGAAACTCTGAGTAGAGAAAACTCGGCTGAAAGAGGGAGCCGAGCGACGGGGTGGAGGAGGAGAGGGCGGAGGCGGAGGTGGTGGCGAGGGCCCTCCGAAGCTGCTCGAGCTGGGCGGAGCGCTGGCACAGCGCCGGCGGAAAGGCGTCGGGGCCGGCGCCGGAGAGCGGCCCGAGGACATCCGTGATGAGCGACAGCTGCTCCAGCTCCGTCTCCGCCCGCCGGTGCTGATGAGGGTCATGCGGCGGTTGCTGCTGTTGTCGCCCGCCCGCGTGTCCGCCTCTCGCGGCGGCACCGCCGTCGGCCGCGTGGCGGCGGTTGGCGAGGAAAAACGGCGGAGTGCGTAGATACATCTGGGCGAGAAAGCAGCCGACGGACCAGATGTCCACCTTCACGTCGTAGGAGGTGATGCCCAGCAGCATCTCGGGTGGACGGTACGAGAGGTTGATGAGACTCGGTGTGAGGGCGCGTCGACCCGAGTCCTCAAAGACGCAGAGGCCAAAGTCCCCAAGCCGCACCTGACCATCGTGGTGCATCAGCACATTGTCGGCCTTGACATCACGGTGGATAATGCCCATGGCGTGCAGCTTCATCAAGGCCCTGAGAAGCTTCTTAAAGACATAGGCGATTTCCCTCTCGCAGAAGGGAAATCGTCGCTGCAGCAAACCAGCGATGCTGCAGGAGGCATACGGAAACACGAGGTAAATGTCATGGTGCGTACGCGACAGCAACACGTCCCGGAGGCTTATCACCTCCCCAATGGGGTCCTTTTTCTCGCCACGATTCGCCTCCGAAGTGGCGGCGCTTTCGCGGGCGCTGTTGATGTGTCGCAGGGCGATGATTTCTCGCAGCGACGTGATCGGAAAGCCATCCAGGCCTTGGAGCACCTTTAGTCGCTTTAGCGCCACGGTCTCTCCGGTCGCAAGGCAGCGCCCGACGTACACCTCGCCGTAGGTCCCCTCACTGATCTTCGCCTTCACCTCGTACTTGGTCTCGACGTACTCCGTCACTGAGCCGAAGTCAATCGGGGTGGGGCCGGAGGGCAAAGGCACCCCCAACTTGCTGTGGCGTCGCATGCTGGGAGAGCAGCCGCAGCTGTACATGCCCTGCGGTGTGGGGGTGGGCGACATCAACTCGCCCCAATCAGCGGAGTTGCGCTGACGCCGCACCATCGGCGGGGCCTCCTCCCCAACCGAGCCCGTCGCACCGGCCGTGTGTGACACCACCAGCGGCAGCTGCTGGTGCACCCCCGCCCGCGACGGCTCCTCCCGCGCCTCACTGTTGCACCCGCCTTCCCTTCCCGCCGCGGCCTCCGGTTGTCGCGGGGGCGGCGCCACCAAGGAGTTGTCAGCCTGCACGGCGGCCCCCTCCTCCACGGTTGCAGGAACTGCTTCTTGTCGCCGCCCCCGCGCCTCTGTCGTCGTTGCGGTGGAGGGGCGACGCGAGAGACGCAGCGTTCGCCTTACCGTAGCGCTAGCACCCGCGTCCTTACCACACGTCACATCGGGAGCAACTGCTGCGACGGGCGGCTTTGGCTCCGCCCCTCGCAGGTTAAGCCGCATCCTCCCGAACGGCGCAGCAGGCGCATCGGAAGCGGCTCGTCTCCCATCGCCTGTCAGCTGCTGCTGCTGCTGCTCTGGTTGTGCCTGTTGTAGTGCTGGTGGAGGCTCTAGCGGCACCGCCTCCACAACGCCCCCTCCTGCGGGCGGCGGCGTTGGCTCTAACAGACAAACGCAACTGCCCGCCCCACCCCCATCTTCGTTTTCCTCGTAGCCGGCGCCGCCCAACTCGTTTCGCAGGACAAGGTGGTGTCTTGTGTCCGTGAAGAGAGATGCCGACGCCGACGCCGACGCCGACGACGACGACGGTGGTGGTGGTGGTGGTGCAATTAAGGCGGGCGCGCCGTCGCCGCTACACATGCCCGACTTCGCCTGGTCCAAAGTGCGAGGCGGTGACAGCAACCGCTCCTGCGCGGGCGCGGCGGCAGCGCCGCCTCCCTGCCGCCGCGGGTCGTGCTGCGGCGACGTTGGCTGGGACACCCGCGTCGTGCCCCTCGGCGCGCTGGCGTCCATGCACTGCAGCCACTAAAACGTTTGCCAGAAATGGGGAGAGCGAGAAATAGAAATAGAGAGAGAGAGAGAGCGATGAATGTATCTGCCCCCTTCTTTATTGTCGTCCGCTGCTGCGTGGCTCCCACCCACCCCCTCTCCTTTTTTATTTTATTTGTTTACTTCGTTGTTGTCTGTGGTTTGCCTTTGCGGCTGTGAGTGAGGCTGCGGCTTCGCCTGAGTCAGCCCCCCACGACGCCGTCGAGAGCGACGCACGGCCCCGGCACTAACGGGCGAGGAGGGAGGGGGAGGAGGGCAACAGGGTCAGTGACACCCCCGCAGCCTCCTCCCACGCGGACGACGCACGCGGCAGGCAGGCAGACAGAACAGCAGCGGCTCGCCTAGAGGGGGCGCAGTGAGGGTTTAACGAGAAGGGCAAGAAAATTAACACATGCACATACATGTATGCATATATGTATGTATATGTATGT